GAAGATTTGACATATGGTCAAGAGATGTCGGAGAGTTTTTGGACAGGAGCATTTGGGGAGACCAAGCTTGGACGGGTTGAAAAATTGGCCCTTCGCTGTTTGATCCAGATGATACTTGAGCCACCCGCGGGAGCTTGATTCTGTTCCATTTTAAAAAGCTCCCAAACTCGCTCCACCTCAGCTTTTTCAAAAAAAAACAGGGCTAAGGTTTTATTCTGGAGGCAACAGTAGCAAAATGTAGCAAACATTAGAGTTGAAGTGCTTCTTCCCGCAAAAAAAACAAAGAGGCTAATGTTGATTCTTGAAGTGGTTCCGAAAACTCACCACTCATGACACCCTGGCCATCCCATTCCGCAACTGAGATCGCCGTTTTGGGCTTCAGCGGCCTGCGCCGGCTGCGTCGGGGCAAAGGTCTGGAGCAAGGGCCGACCAGCCTCACGGTGGTGGTCCGGCCTCGGATCCGGAAGCAGCCGGGAGCCCGCAACGTCTCGGTATGTTTGTGTTTACTTGAATGGCTCACGTGACAAATGGCCATGGGCCAAAATCCAAATCGGTTAGCCCCCAGTAAACGGGACCCAACCCAACCACTCAAATAGGTTCTAAAATGAGTGGTGCACCTGGTTTTGACCCACAGCCAAATAGCCAGACAGGGCCAAGTTAGCACATGAACGGTGTGTGTTTGTTGGTGGTTCTTACAAGGAAAACCAAATGGACAACCACCAATGTTTTGGGATTTGGACCTCCTTAAAAGGACACACCAAACTAGTTTCACTTCAAACAATTCTCATGGTTCCCCTGTGCTTGTCCAAGGCCCGGGGCCGCGGCGGAAACACTTCCGGCAAGGTGGGGTAGGGCTGAGAGGCGGTGACGGCAAGGCCCGACACCAGGCAAATCAGCACCACAAAGGCTGTGCCTGCGGCTTCTGGAGGTTGGGGCAACTCGTTCACCTATGGCAACGCCTGATTGGTTTTTTCACGGCCTTTTGGTTTCTCTTTCAGATTTCAAGGGGTTCAAACAAGCTTTGCCCAACACTGCGTCAGGGTTGCCGCTGGGTGAGGACATGCCTCCTTTGCAAAGAAATCATGGGCGCAAAGGCTCGGGGGACAAGTGTCAGGTGCCTGGGGTTTTGCCCTGGTGTCAGGTGCCTGTGGTCACTTCCCCCTTTGAACATGGGAACTCGTATCTGCAAGACCATTTGGAGGGCCAGGGCTGGGTCACGTCTTTAGCCCTTGTTGTTGAAACAGCTTCATTTAGGCGTCCCTCCGGAGTCCGCGTCATGTTTGATAAGGCCATGCTCAACCCTGGCTCCTCCGCCTCACTTACACCAAGCAATCAAAGGCCTGGTTGAGGTGCAGTCCATGTTTGGTGAGCCCCCAACCCACCAAACAGCAAGGATGAAAGAGTGAACATCTGGGGTCGCTACTTGAAGGTCACCTAAACTTCAACTTTTTAAGTGTGGGGAACCGGGGGGGGACCCACCAAACAAACTGGGTGTGTGCCTTTTTAGGGCCCCCCCGGCTTCGACAATTCAACTGGGATTTTCATCAGCGGGAGGTCCCTTGCCTCCGACCACAGCCCTGGGGCGACTCAAGGGCAGCATCAGCTTGGAGGCCTAAGCCATCCAGTTGCAACCAGCGACCCGTTCAGTAGAAAAAGGCAATGTCAACTCAATTTCGAAGTCATTTTTTGGTGAACCCCCCCTTGGTTGCTCTTGAACCCCCCTGCAAAAGTTTAACTTTTTAGGGGTTCAGTGGAAAACACCTTTATTTCCCAAAAAGTTAAAGTTTAAAGATCCAACCCAATAGCAGTCAAGCCCAAAGCCATCTGGGCAGTTTCCGCTTGGTTCTACTTGGAGACGAAATCAGAATATGGCTGTGTCCCAAAATTGTGCCAAAGCGACTTGGTGCCCTAAGTAACTTGCTTTCCAGTTCCCTTCTCCCTGAACATCCGTGGGGGGAAATGTCGCACCTGGTTTAATACTGGTACCGTGATTTATGCCAAGTGTTCTCGGCCTGAACCCCACCCCCACTGAATGGGTACTATGAGTTATGTCAAGTTGTTGTTGCTAAAGAATAGTCCCGGCAAAACACCGGGCAACAACAAAAATGACCGGGCAAACAAATCCGGCAAACATTGTTAATTCCTTTTGTCAAGCGGTACCCAAACCATCACATTTAATTTAAGACAACGTCTTACAAAAAGGTAAGGGCAGTCACGTAAAGGGGGTTGCCCACAAGAGGCCCGGATTCTGTTTAATGTGACTGGTTTGGGGGTTCTTGAATGTCCAACTTGTTTGAGGGGGCTAAATCAAAGCCTTAGACTTTACTTTTAAAGGGCGGTTCCCCTAACCAAGCTCTTGCCAGCTCTTTAAGAACTTCTTTACACAAAAGCAAGGACAACCAGTTACACAAAGGGGGTTGCGCACAAGAGGCCTGACTCTGTTTAATGTGACTGTTGTGGGGGGGTCCGTTTTTGCCCAACATGTTTGAGGGGGTTACTGACACTCCCAAATCAAACGCCTTAGCCTTTACCTTTCAAGGGCGGTTCGCGCAGCCAAGCTCTCAAAGGGTAAAGAAAGGCCTGAGAGCTAGGATATCCATTTTGCACATGGCCCCCAAACCGCCAAATCTAAGAATTTCTTTACAAAACGTAAGGGCAACCAGGCACACAAAGGGGGATCCCTGATTCTGTTTAATGTGACTGTTTAGCTTGTTCTTTTTTTAATGTGCTTGACCAAGTACTGGGAAATCGAAAAGTAAGTCTTGGCAATTCTATAAAAGGAAGTCCTGGCAATACTAAGTTTAAACTAGGCAATACTAAGCTAAGCACTGGGAATCTGATAGTAAGTCCTGGCAACAAGAAACTCAGACTAGGCAATACTAAAGTACCAAGTTCTGGCAATCCAGCAGGAAGTTCTTGCAGCAATAAACTAAGTAGTGCCAACACTAGAGCAATACTTAAGTCATCCAAGCTCCCCAGACCCCTATTCAGGACCCCCGAGCACACATTTCCTGGCGATATGGCCACGTCACAAGGTATACAACTTCAATACGCAGTCGACACACATACGGGCCATGTGCGTGTTATTTGAGGTTCGCCCCCTATTTTGGGTTGGCTTAAAAGGAACCCCACCGGAAACCCGAAATCCATGTTGGGGGTTCGAGAATTTAGGTCGTTGGCACAGACCCATCGGTCCCATTTTTCCTGAGGTTCGCGCCAGGAGCCCCCAGTTCGGCTTCAACTCTGCGGGCTCGAGCACCAGCACCAGCCTCAAATCCCAGCTTGAGGTTTTCCGGGGTTGGTTAATGTTAACCCCGGATTAAGCAGAACCCGTGGTTGATTTTGATTGGGGGTGTCCAATTCCTTTTAGTGGTTGGATTCGGACCACTTTTGGAGGGAACAGTCCCCTAATAGTGGGACGGGTTCTACTTAGATCCTGGGTCAACATAACCCTTCCCACGTCGCCGTGGCACCTGAGGGAGGGCACCTGGATCAGTTTCCTCTTGGAGGGACCTGTCAGGTGCCATGTGGGAGGGAGAGTAGCCGTCCTTCACGTGAACTAAGGTGCAAGGTGGCAGCAGGCGGGGCCCAGCAACTCTCGAGCGCATCTGGGCCGCATCTGGGCAAGCCGTTTTCGTTTTCAAACTTCAGAAACCGGAAGGGAACCCGAGTATATAGACATTCATTCATCTTGATTGAGCTCGTCCTAAGGTGAGCGGCTCGAAATTTGCCCAAAATCAGCGTGGCCCCTTCGCAGTGGAATCCATCAATCAAGGATGCATGTTCCTGGATGCCTCACAACAAACAAAGAGTATTCACCTCCACCGCATGTTGAAGAGGGGCACCCAGCGCATCCAGTTGTGGTTCTCTCTGAAGACCGTGCTAGTACCCAGTATCACTACAGAGCGCATCAGCATAATTTCTCTGAATATCAAATAATGCAAAAAAAAAAAAACAGACCAGATGCATGAATCTGGAAGGGTCCCTTTGCTATCATCGGCACTCTACCGCCCCTTCCATAGATGGGCGTGTTGGACGAGGGTTTAGTTGTTTTTTGTTTGAGGTGTATTTCTCAGAGTTCTTTCAAGCGAAGCTAAAGGGCAGCCATTGATTGGAAACCACCCATTTTGTGGGTTTCTGCATTCAAAGGCAAGCCCACAGTACTAAGGAGCCTGTGAATCTTTGACCTTGGGCCAGTCTGGGCTGCCTCGCTTTCTTGGCAACCGCCGCCGCATGCATGGCCGCAACGAGCGCTCATGCCTGGCGCTCGAAACAGACTGGCGCGTGGCGGAAGGAACTTTCTCAGAAGGGGGTGTGATTGAAGGAGTGAAGGGGCACAGGTCCGAGCTCAATCGGCATCTACCCAGGACAAAAATACGCGCGCATACATGTGTTTTGAAAGGATTCCAAAGCTCCCCATACTTCCCCCTCCAAATGTCAGCCCAACAAGTAGAAAACGGGGGACCCCATAAGTTGTACTCACAACTTCAGGCTGACGAGGCTCCGTCCTTGGTGCCGCCTTTTTGCCGCCCGCTGTGCACGGAGCCATTCCGGCGCCGGTCCAGCGACACGCGAGCTGCCAAGCGGCGTAAGACCGAGCTCGGGAAGCTGAGGGAACGCAGCAAGCTTGCAATTTATTCTCACTTCCTGAGTTGATGAGACCCAACAAAGAGAAATTTGTTCTCACTTCCTGAGTTGATGAGACCCAAAAAAGAGAAATTTGTTCTCACTTCCTGAGTTGATGAGACCCAAAAAAGTGAAATTTATTCTCACTTCCTGAGTTGATGAGACCCAAAAAAGAGAAATTTATTCTCACTTCCTGAGTTGATGAGACCCAAAAAAGATAAATTTATTCTCACTTCCTGAGTTGATGAGATGAAAAGAAAAGTAACCAAACTTTTTGTTTGCCACTAAAATGGTCTCAAACCAAAAGTTTAAAGTCTAGTGAGTATTGGCCACAAAGTCAATCCATACCAATGTAAGCGCAAGTCAGTCCTCACGAAGTTCAACCCTCTGCTCCCATTTCAGCTGCCCAGAGTCCGGCAAATGAACCCCTTACCCCTGAATTTCATGCAGGCCGGCTTTTTGAGCCAGATCCCCACGCCACGTTTGGGCTCTCGGTGTCCCCTCACGCCGGCACGCGCGACTTGATGCTGTCCGTCAGGGACTTCACAGCTTTGGACCTCGGATTCGCTCGAAGGCGAAGGCGAGCGACACGGAGAGTTGGCTTGCACCACAGCGAAGACAAACCCCAGGCAGTTTCACGAAAACATAATGATATAATGTTGATAATCATGTTTTTGTTTCTTTTTTAACAAAACAATAAATGAACAGAATCATAATGACAACAATAATACTAGAACGGGCAATCATTGGCACTGCACGGCCGTGTTTGACACAAATTTGCTAGCTTCCCAAGGCTTCCCTCAGGCCGCGTGCATATGGAACAAGCCCCTTGAAGCTGCCTCAAAGCCTTGAAGAGCAAGCTGCAATCGTTGCCTAAAAAACAACCGCTTGGAACCTGGACGATAAATGAGCGATCTTTTGGAGCCTTGGCACAAACTCCTATTGAATAACGGAGAGATCTCTGAGGTCGATTCACTTTGGACAAGTAAGCGATGCGACAGTGAAGGCTTTCCAACAGCCACATCTGCTTTCCCTCCCGGTCTGCATTGACAGCTGCAATCTCGTGACCAGCCCGCGGTTTTCCCATTCCAGGCAACACCCTATTTGCGCAAGTCTGTCAGCAAGTTGGCAAGCGATCCCCCTCCAAGGAGGCCAAAAGCCCACAAACCTTCTAAGAATTTTGGAGTCTGGAAGCTTTCTTGGGAATTCTGGCGTGCTGCCATGAAACAAGCACAACTCGCGAACGTTTCTGGGGTTGGATCCCTTCATGAGTGACAGACGAGATGACTTGCTAATGGTCCACTTGGGTAGGACGAGATGACTTGCTAATGGTCCACTTGGGTAGGCCCTCTTATTTTGAAAGGAGCCAAAGAGAAAATTAGCTAGGCTCCCCCATGTCATCCCCAAACCAACCAGAGACTATCACTAATAACATTGACTGCTCACATTCAGGCTGAGGCACGGGAGCTTGTCACTGGTCACTAGGCTCCGCAGCTCATCCAAGTGCTGCCGCTGCAACAGCAGCTTTCGGAGGTCCTCCTGGCGTCCGGATGGACAAGACCCTGGACCCGTTTGGATGAAACCCTCAAACTGGCATACACCACCTAGCGGCTACAAGATTCTCTCCTATGCGTTGCCCATATGGGGTCTCTAAATGGTGGGGGGGGGCCGTAAAAAGTTGGGTCGGCATCTCTACCCCACATACTGTGGATGGACGAAATCCTCCGAGGCACCACCTACAAAACCCCGCAATGATGCTTCCCCTCAAAAATACAAACAAACACCATGGTTTGCTATGGTTTCACAGCGGTGCGAATGGATTTCGCAACCACCCACAAGATCACCAATGGCTCAACACCACTGGGATCCCATTTTGGTAGGTGAATTCACCACCCATTTGAGACGCCTCCGCCCCTGCGCTGATCTCTCTCCGGGCCTCCGCTCGCAGGCGCCCGGTCTGGGCGCGCTCGGCGGCCTGCTGCGCTGCGTCTAGCCTCGGCTTCTTGGGGCCCCGAAAAAGCCGTGGGCACCGACCGACCTGAACCTTATCTTGGTTGACGCTGGGTTAGGGGAGCAAAAATTCTCAAATTTTAGCAGCTAAGTGGTTGGATTTCAACCACTCAGCCATCATAAGCAGAAATGTAAATGTTTCCCAACAACAACCATGTTATCCACCCTGAACAAGGTGTCAGGTTGTATCTGTTCAGGAGCCCTGACCTGGCAAACGAAACACTCATTGAGTTCAGTCTGATCCTTGAGACCGGGGAAGCCTCTGTCTTCAGCCGAAGGCCAGGTTGCCAACGGGGACACGTGTACCAGGGGGGGTCCTTCTCCAAAACGGCATGCGTCTAAACCTAAACATGCCTGGCTGTTGCTGTTCCATTTCCGTTTGACAGTCACAGAAGTCACTTACACCACCAACACCTATCCATGAGTGTGGGCACCTCAAAGGTGAAGACTCCTTTGCCAAAGGCCCCATTATTTTTTAATAATAGAAGACAAACAAGGCCCTTTGCCAAGAAGGGTCTTTTGATGACTTGGGCCCAGCTACCACCCCACAGCAGCTGTGTGTGTGTGTGTGCGCGTATTTCTTAGGGGACCTCCTTTTGGCTTCCCTGCAAAGGAGGTACCCTCAAAAAAGATTCATCCAACTTCAGGTGTTCTTTTCGAACAAAACCACCAGTAAAACCGAAATCCGTCTTGGAGGTCCCCTAAAAAGAGACACATGTGTACCAACAAATCCTTCCATTTGCTTAAGCCCCCTGAAAAAAAAAAAGTCCAATAGTGATAGATTCCATTTAAAACCAACAGGGCAAAAAAAAAAACCTTAAGCAAATGGAAGTGGTCCATATCCGGAGGTAAACCTAAAACCACCAGGTAAACCAGGGAAACCCCTCTATTTGTCGACCAAAACAACCAAAAAGGACACCCATGTCCCAACCGTTGGCGCTTGCAAGCACCGGTGTCTGCCGCGTGGCTCCTGCTGGCAGGCCCGCAGCTCACGCTTCACGCGGCTGGCCTCGCCTTGCCGCTCCCTCAGCGCAGTGTGCAGGTACGCCTGGCAGTCAAGTAGGTCCCTCCCAATATGGACCATGGAAATACAAGGATGACAAAATCTGTTTGAGGAGACGACACTTTAGTAAAAGATGTGGCTTTCGGAAATCCATTTTGCCAGCGAAAGCCGCTTGTTGCTAGGAAAGCGAACGCTCTTAGCTAGTCCCATCTGTCAAAGCATAGGGGGGCCTAAAAACAACGGTGGTCTTCTTGGTGGTGGTGTTGCTTTGCTGTTTGGCCAAGGTGAAAGGAGACGTTTTTTTTTTTTAAAGAAAAACGACACTCGCGCGTAGTTGGGAGGGTTTTGAGTGTCAGGGGGTGCTGGTTGGGGGTGGATGGGGAGGGGTTGAGTTGATTGTCAAGGGGCGTCTAGAGATTGGTCCGTGCTTGGATGGTCTTTTCGTGGGGATGGGCTTGTCTTTCTGCCGAGGCTCGGTGTCCCCTGCCATGGAAGGCACCCAAGGGATAGGCCGCTTTGAAGGGAAACCCATGAAGAAGCCAAGATAAAGGCTATCACCACGCCTTTGCTAAACCCTTTATGAGGGGCTGGGGTGCTTCTGGACCGCACATTTTGTCTTTCTCAAAGCCGGGCACTTTTCAAAACGCCGGGCTAGCCAATCCTAATCCGCAACCCCTTGAAACACGTGTCAGTGTTTCCCACGACCACCCTTCCTCGGAAACCTCACTTGCGCGAGAGCGTGCCTCTATTTGCGAAAAAGCCTGTGCTCAGTGCCCCTCTGGTAGGAACAGAAAACTGACCTGTTTGTTCTTTAAGATGAGAACCTAGCAAACAAGCACGCAAAACGGCGGTTTGGCAAGTTGAAAACACATAACGTTAACGAGTCCAGCCGCCCAGCTTGCTCAAGTGGATGTCCGTCACGCAAACAAGGGAACCATTGAACCATCCATTTGATCAAAAGTGACCCCTTTCCTTTCTCATTGACTCGGCTGCTTCCCTTTCTTGAGTGGATGGGCTCGAAACCGTCTGGCCTTGTTGTTTCCCGCTAAAATGGTCTTCCCAAACGGTTTGTAAAAGTCCAGGAGCTCAGGCAGTGAGCTGCGATGTTGTCAGCCCAGGGGCGAGCGTTTGGCTCACCAAAGCCTGAACCTACCCCCGCCTGGGGCTCTGTGCAGCGAGCAGCTCGGGACTCCATTTGGGCAGCCTCCAGTTCTTGCTTCAGGCCTTACGACTGCCACAAAGCTCCCAAAGAAGCGCAAATGGCAAAGTGAAAATGCAAGCCCTCATGCCTTTCTTGTGTTAAGAACTAGGAGGTTCCTTGTATATCCCCATATCTCACCAAAGGGAGGCTCACGTCAAATCGGCCTGCTGACGAAGCGATGCTCAAACCCACCAACAGCAAAAAACATCAGGACCCGCAAGGGGCTTGGTTCCCATCCCGATGGCTACTTTGTCCCTTTCAAGGGGATGCAACACATGATTTTGCTTTGTGCAAAATATGGAAAACATATGGAACCTGCCACATTGGGGGCACCCCGGGTCTTGGACGATATGTGTCCGTCTCAAGGGGAGCCCCGAAAATGTCCAACAGAAGCAAATGGAAGAGACAACCATGCCAACGGAACCCTGACCAAAGCCACAGGAAACTCCATGCCCCTTTACGCTTAAAAGGTGCCGCAGGGATCCTTACATTCTACACCTGAACATTGCCTTGTAAATGGCGGTGCCTCGTTATGTTGGTGGAAAATGCAATGTTTCAAATGGTTGCAAAATGTATCTTTCAAGGAGCCCTGTTCCACAACAGCAGTCTTTTTCAGGCCCTCCACAGCCGCCGGGAAAAACATGCCGCCGAAGCCGCGGTGCAGCTCCTGTTGGGCCTCTTCCAATTTCACGGCGGTCTGCCGCTGCTGGCGGTTGGCACGCTGAAGCTCCTCGGGCGATGTTGCTGGCGGCTCGGCTTCTCGACCTCTGCCCCTTTTGATTGGCCAATGAACGAAGCAAATTGATTCATCAGTAAAGTCCTTAAAACTCAAAAACAAGAAGCCTGAACATTTCCTGCGGATTTGTTTGAGAAGCAGACTGATTTACTCAAAAACAAGGGTCGATAACGATAACACTCAAAAGGGACAATAAATCATAAATCCCTGTAAATGGCGGAATCCCTTTGAATGGCCAACCTACCAGCAAAATCCATAAAACTCAAAAGCAAAAAGCCTGAACATGTCCTGTGGATTTGTTTGAGAACTGAACCAATCCGATGGGTCCATCAGGTTTGGGACTCCGATCTCCGTCCTGCGCCAGCAGAAGGCTCTGCTGGATCCGGCGCTGGGCGCTGGCCGGCGCACTGCCCAGCGTGGTGCCAATCAGCAGCGCCTCTTGCGCATCCGCCGTGGGCGCCTCAACGCGCCCAATACGGACCCTGCCCAAATCTCGGAGAAATTGACGGAGGGAACCCCAAACTGTCCAAAGAGAATCCAAAATGGGGGTTCTGCTACAAAGGAGTCTTTGTTGGGATGCCATGTTTATCTGCGAGGGAGGAATCCTGGGAAAAGTGAGCTATAAATTCGCAACGGAAACCATGGAAGACCCCGAGATTCGGCATAGGTAAGCTCGCTTTACCACAGCTGAGCTCGTTCTAACGTGCCAAGAAAAATAGCGCGCCTGCTTCAGGAGGTGCCCATTTAGTGGCCATTCCAAGTGAGCTTTGAGTCCCGAAATAATATTGGCCTTTGGGTGTGTGTGTGTGTGACGTGGCCTCCCAAATCCGTTTGCCGAGTCTTGTCCCAAGGTTTGAACCATTCACGTGTCAGCATCCCATCCTTGCATGTTCAGAAGAGCTGGCACCGTCCAAGTTGGCAGATCCATTCAACTTAGAGGCCCAAACCTGGGCCAAACGGTTTGCTGTAGCTTTGCTGTGGACCATTCCGGGGCCACCAGAAATCGACAGAAATGGCATGGCCAAAGCCAGCTTTCCAAATTGCCCGCCCGCACCTCGGCGCAGGCCTTAATGGTGGCATCCAAGTCCTGGCGAATCGAAGGTCCAAGATCCGACCAAGTAATTGGCAGCCAGTGCATTTCTCCCAACCCCACAGCATGGAATCTCTATGCTCTGTGAACCCTATTTTAGAATACCCTAGGAGATCCCAGGTCTCGCTAAAAGCGGTTTTTCTCCAACACCCCTCGGCGCTCACACTTCCTGAGTGGATTGGGCCTCACAAAACTTGGTTGCTTTCTGCTCCCCTGCTAAAAGTTTAACTTTTAGTGGTTTAATGGAAAACTCATTAGTTGGCAAAAAGTTAAAGTCCTAACATCCAAGCAACATGCACCAAAGAAAAACCAGTCCAAACTTCTTAGTTTGCGCCTCGAGAATGATAAAACAAACACATTCGTCCAGCGCCTGCAGGCTCTCTAAGGGTTTTTCTATGTCCTGGGAATACACCCACTGGGCATTGACCTCATTTCTTGGTTGACGTTGGGTTAGGGGAGCAAACATTCTGAACTTTTAGCAGTTAAGTGGTTGGACTTCCCACTAAACCACAATAAGCAAAAATGTAAAACGTTTCCCAACAACAACCATGATTTAGGCACATTTCCGGATAACACCGTGTTATTTTGAACCATTTTGGGTCAGTTCCCAAGGGTGTCATCCCAGGAGAACACTTCCATCTTAAGCCCCCTGGCAAAAAAATGCCCGGTGATAGATTCTCTTTGAAACCAGGGTATTATAAAACCAAAAGAAAAGAAGAAAAAAAACGGGGGGGAAACACACACACACACACACACACATATTCTCACAAACCCCAGGGGTCTACAAAAACCCCCAGCCAGGTCTCAAGAAAACCCGGTCCTTCTCAAGGTCATGGTACCCCCGAAGCTGCTCCCGCAGCGTGGCCAGCTCCGCGCGCTCCGCGGCGCGGCCCTCCTTGGACTGCAGCTCCAAGTTGTAGTACTCCTGACCCGTAGACCCAAAGGAAAACCTTTTTGTGCACATTGGGGGGGTGTCTTTTTGTGAGGGTTCCTTTTGTTTGTGGTTTTAAAGTGACAAGTCCAAATTGTTCAAACATCTGTGTTAGTCAGCTTGGTTGCTGTTGACCCCTCTGCAAAAAGTTTAACTATTGGTGGGTTTAGTGGAAAACTCCTGACCCGTTGGTTATGTGGCCGTGGGTCGACACCAATGGTACCATTTGGGGGTAGGTGAATTCACCACCCATTTTAGAACCTATTTTAGTGGGGATTGGGATGTTCAGACCCGTTGGCTGTGTCCGAAAGGGTGGTGTTCAACCTATTCAAATTCGCACTTGCTGAGTGGATGGCCAAAAAAAAGCCAAAACCTTCTATTTACCACTAAAATGGTCTTAGTCGAAAGTTCATGAACTCAGGAATCTTTGCTAGTCAGTTTGTTGCGGGAGATGGAACGTTTGTCAGGGAGTTGGTCATTTTGTTTATGAAAGTCACTTTGTTTGATAGTTAGTAGGGGATGTGGGCCCTTGGAACATAGTATGAATCATTGTCTTTTCAACGTATTGGGGAGATAGTAATTTGCAAAATGTTAAACAGGCTATGTTTGCAGGCGAGGTAGTCAGTTTACGGGAACAAAGAAAGCAACGTTACTTGTTACAGTTTCCCAAAATAACTAAAACTCAAACGTGCCACACCCACGAACAATATGGCGCCGCTATGTTTCCCAAGCACGACTGGCGGGACCCAACGCTACAAGAAGGGAGATTGAGGTAGACATCTTCCACAGTTCTTCATGTGACTTTGCGCAAGGTGATATTTAGAACAGAAGAACCACCTTTTGAAAGTGGCCCCTTCAGAAGGAAACTTGTCTTCAGGTACTTTGCAGGTGCTAGGTCAGTGGGCGGAAGCGTATCTCATTGTCATGCTATGCCCTCCTGATTCAAACTGCCTCCCCGGACCACGAAACACATGAGGAAGGCCCTTGTTCACGTTTCTGCTTGCACGGGCATCCAAATTTCGGAAAAGGGGTTTGCCAGGCTGAGGGGTGGAAGATGACAAATGGGCTTGCGGTTCGCGCCAAATCTGCCAACAAAGGCTTGGCGAGCATGAGCCTTTGGATTGGATTTTTCACTAGAATGAACCCTTGGGTGGACATTGGACAAATGGATGCGCCCGTAGGACCCCAAACATGTGCATCCCTGAGAGCCCAAGACAAGGCCCGAAGACCAAAACCTGAAACAGACCCTGAGACCCCGCTATCTGACTGATGACCGATTGCCAGGCAAAGGGGCCAAACACGAGCAAATACTGCGGGTCCTGCCGCAGCACCTCCATCTGTCGTCTCAGCTGCCTCAGGCTCACCGCTTGCGCGAGCGGGTGAGCCCCACCACTTTGGGTTACCCTCCCACCAGCTAACATGGAACCTGGCAGGGGTCCTGGAAGACAATCTTCCTTTTAAAGGTGAACGACAACAAGCAGCGCTCAGCACCCATTCAGTAAAACCCCCTGCCAGATTGGCCAATACGGGGGTTGGGCGCTGCTCAACTGTTTTTTAACCTTGATCTGAGTGAGGGTCTCTTTCAGTTGAGGGCCTCTTCTAGTGGTTTTCAGCAACGTGCCAGAAGCCCTTTGTATGTGCAAGCTGGGGATCTGGAACGGTGGCTGGACATGCTGCCCGTGAACATCTGAGTGGTTTCGTGACTGCAGAAAATGATTATGATCAGTCACACATCCGAGGTCCGGCCCAGTTTTCTACTAATTAGCCTATGATCACTGCAGCAGGGATGTTCAACCCAGGGCAGAACAATGGTTGTTGATGGCCTAAGAAGTGGCATGTTTCCAACTAGGTTTAGCATTGAGGTGACTCACCTTTCTGGGCGCTGCACGTGCGAGCTCGGGGTTTCAGTGCCAACACGAGTATGGAGTTGACAGGTGCTTTGCTTTTCATGTCCCTTTCAACATCCGCCAACATTTGGAGGTGCGAAATTTGGAATACCTGCACAGCGCACGCTTGTCCAATAGCTTTCGCGAGCTTACCGATTTTGGGGGTAATAATTACCCGTTGCGAAGGTCTCCAGCTTAGAGATGCTTTAAGTTTTGTTGCTGAATCACGCAGGCTCTAAACCGGCTGCCATTTTTCCACCAGGGCCACTAGGCAAGTGGGATACAATCATCTTCGAAAGTTCGTCAGTGCCCCTCTGTTTGTCTTGATGCATGCTTTCGAAAACAAAACATGGGGGGTGTTCCCTTTAACTATTGGGCGTACTGCCCCCTTCCATACATCACTTGGGGAAGCGAGGGTTGGATTTGGTAGGACCTTGCCCAGTGGCCCTAGAACACAGTTGATTCCATTTTTCGGTGGGGGTGCGTCAGCCTCAAACGCCGCAACGGCATCTTGCTTGCCAGGGGGCTCGTTCTCCACGTCCAACTTCTGGCGGGCGGAGCCGACTTCGTCCAGCGTCAAGCCAGCCCGCTCGATCTCGAACATCTTGAGTTTTAAGCTCCCGTTCAGCTCCTGAGCCCGGAAAGTGCTGAGCTAAGCTGAGTGCAGAATTGCCCAGAAAGCTTCACCCTTTTGCTGGCTGCTGGGGGACTTGGCATTTTCCTCAAGAAAGTTGAAAGATGTTAAAGGTTCAAGCTCATCTGAGATTTGAATGGGTCTACCCGCTGGCGAGTGACGATCGACTTTTGGACGTGAAGACGGGGATGCACCAAAGATCATGATTTGCAAACTCCCAACAAACTGGATTTGAAGCCTGGCCTTAAACGGGGTAGACGTGCAGATTATGAATCAGCACCCTTGCTGAAGTGGACAGGTGTGGTGGATTCAAATGGGCGAAACAAGTGGAAATCAATAGGAAAGCAGCAAGCGGGTACACCATAATGTACGCTGCCTTTCACAAATTGCAATTCCTTGGGAGTTATGCACACGCACACGCACACGCACACGCACACGCACACGCACACGCACACGCACACGCACACGCACACGCACACGCACACGCACACGCACACGCACACACACACACACACACACACACACACACACACACACACACACACACACACACACACACACACACACACACACACACACACACACACACACACACACACACACACACACACACACACACACACACACACACACACACACACACACACACACACACACACACACACACACACACACACACACACGCACGCACGCACGCACGCACGCACGCACGCACGCACGCACGCACGCACGCACGCACGCACGCACGCACGCACGCACGCACGCACGCACGCACGCACGCACGCACGCACGCACGCACGCACGCACGCACGCACGCACGCACGCACGCACGCACGCACGCACGCACGCACGCACGCACGCACGCACGCACGCACGCACGCACCCACCCACACACACACACACACACACACACACACCGCCAGCCCACTCCAAAGCACATGAACACAAAGGTTTGAACCGTTGGGACCTTGACTAAAAGTAGCGCAAACGTAAACAGCCAAATGGTAAAACAAAAGAAGAAGAGGACAGTAACAATTTCGACTTTGACCAAAGACAGGGTATACCTGCGCGGGCGCGGCCCAGTGACGGTGATCTCATTCTGGAGCTCTGCCCTCACTCGGCTGAAGGAGAGTTGAAGCGTCTGGTGCCCTTGCTCCTCGTTGTCAAGGCCTCAGTTCCCCCAAAAGAAGATTCCCCTACAGTACAACAACTAGGTCCTCCAGTAGAGAGGTTAGAATAAGGGTACCCCTTTTTCCTGTAGTCTCTTTTGGTCGGGGACCCCTCCCCAAAAAAAGGGGTAAAAGGGCACTACCGGGGGACCTAGACAATGATGGATTTGGGGGTTCCAGGTAAAACTACGGATTGAACCCCTGGCCGCCCAGCCGAAACCTGCAAACAACGTCCCTTCCCCGCGCCCCGCTTTCGCCAGGAGGCGCGTCTGCAGAGAGGCACAACGCTCCTCCGCTGCGGAGGCGCGGTCCTGGAGCTTTCGGCTCGTAAGGCTGCCGAAACGGCAAAATGTGTAGGACCACCAGAAACAAAACAGCCTCTTTCGCAGAGAAATTTATATAACTGGATTGGGTTGGTGGAGGTAAAGGGGGGACCTTCGCAGTTGGCTTCAAAAGGAGCCGGCGGGTGAAACCCTCCAAACCAATCCAAAGAACAAATCAAGGCTAGCCTGAGTCAAAGGGGTTTTGGGTGTCAGCCAAACCCTACGATGTTTTTTTTGGCTGATGGTTTGAGGCTGGCGGGGGTGAGGCAACATGCACGCATAATTGGCCAATCTCACCAACCAAACCAATCAATGCTTGGAATCTCCGGATGCTTCATGTTTCGGAAACCTCGAGCGGGGTGAGGTGGAAAGCAGTTGCAGTCTGCGCCTCCCGCATTGAAGCTATGCTCCACCAAACGATTCTTGATTTGCTACCAGCACGCCAACCATGTCATAATTGAAAGTTGGGAAAAGGTCAAGACTAATCACCACTCAAATAAACTGTCTTCAAAACAAACATAGAACCTAAACGAGCTCCTGGAAGACAATGTGCTGCTAGCAGGGGCCCTCTTTCATGTTCCATGTTTGTTGTTGGGACCCCCCCCCAGATCAACATGGAGCCCGCAAAACCTCTTGCAGGATGTCCGGATGTCCCATCGGCCCCATCCCTCACCTGGAGCAGCGAGACCTCCTTCTGATGCAACGCCGTCATGTTGACGCGCACCGCCTCGATGTCCGCCTGCGCCTACGAGGGTTAGACGTGGCTCACTTGAGCAGAAAACGATGCACTGGAAGAAAGCACCGAAATGGGGGCTTTCTTTCCGGTTCCACTTTGAACCGACCCTTCGGTGGACATCATTTACATGGGGAGTTATGTCCACCAAGCAATTTGGAGGGTGCTCCCCATCGAATCAACAGTATCAGAAGCAAGGAATCGTCAAGTAAGGAACCCGCATCACAGATGAGGCCCGACGCCATCATTTGCCGAGAACTGCACAGAACTGCTCTGTGGGCACAGAGGCACCAGGTGAGAATTCAATGTAAGTGCGGGACACGATTTGCACCAGGCAGGCTTGAAATACGATGGACAACTCACATCCATGCAAATGGCTATTACTCACAAGCTGGACAAGAACAATACCCAAGTAAGGGACATTCAGCATGCATTCGTTTATCCGCAGGTCAGCATTATATTTTTGACTGCAGGCTTTACACTCTTGGAGGGACGTCTCAGCTTGTTTGAGCATCCTCCTGCTCCAAAGGCTCTCTGTTCCAGTTTTCTGGGCTTCTGTGCGAGTTGGGGGTATGTATTCAAATGGGGAGGGGGACCCCAGAATGATAAAAGGCGGCTCCTGCAGGCTGCTAGTTCAGCTCTCAAAGCCAGGGTGCCCTCCAAACATACATGGGGACTACAATGCAAAGCCTGAAGAAGGAGAGACAAGCTGTGCCCACAAATGGAAGTCTGCTGAAGTTGTGTTTCTTGATAACCTGCCTGCAAATGGCAAGCCAAAGCAGCTGTCCCAGTGGTCTTTCAACGTGTTTTCGTTTGACACCGCTTTTTGGGTGAACATTACTCGAATTGGACCTCAAGCTGCCGGAGGGCCCTTAGTCTTCCAGACAGAGTGGTCTCAACATGCACGTCCACGGCCATATTCCCACCCCTCCCTGCCGGCACGGTTCCAATAATGGCAACACACCCCAGACACGAACCAGTGCACATTGCGAGGCTTGCCTTTGCCCAGTTGCGCGAAAGTCGCGGTGACACCAAAAGCCTGTGAGTGGCACTTGGACAACTCACAGGAAAATGACAACCTTCGCTGATGCGCAACCGCGCCTTCTCTTGAAAGCGCCGGATCTCTCCGTTGATCTGATCGCGGACCTCCTGCGTGGTGTTCACCTGCAGGGTCAAACGAGTTCGCTTCTCTGCACGTCACCCCAACAAGGTGAACCGCAAATCAGGCAAGGTGATGCACCAAAAAAGGACAGAACAAAGTTAATTCAATCCCAGCTGAAACAAAAAACACACGCACATTTGTTCGGATGTCCTGCTCCAGCTCCGCTTTGCGGGCGAGCTCCTTCTTCTTCTCCCGCAGGCTGTCGACCTGTGCCAAAAAGGTGCCTTTTTTGTTGGGTGGGACCCCAATTAATTGGCGAAACGGTTCCTATCAACCTGCAAGAGAAACACAAACTCATCGCTCTAAAGCTTTCAAGGGTAATTACACGGCTGCTGAGGGATGCTGCTGGATCGGCTTGTGGCATCATCATCAGTACAAATGCAAGAAGCCAACAAGGGCGAGCCGGCAGATCGACTGAAATTGCCACTTCAGCTGCCTAGTGCCCGGAACCCCCTCATTTGGCAGGTCATGGGGGAAAACTGACGGGACAAGGATTCTTTTGGCTACTCTCCATCTTAAACGCGAGGCCCGTGCTTTCATCAATTTCTGCCCTGTGTCCCTTAAGATGGGGTCCCATGTTACGCCGATTTCCCCGCGTTTCGGGAATGCCGTGAACCGGCTGCTCCCCGCCTTCGCCTGCAGCTCCGCCACCTTCTCGTCCCTGACCTGCAGCTGTTCCTCCAGCAGCTGCGCGCGCCGCGCGTGGGCCTCCGAGTCCTCCGGTGTCTGGTGGATCGACGCGCTCGAGGACACGTCGGCAAGGCGCGAAAAAAATGGTGTGACCGACTGGCGTTTTGGACCTTCGGGAAACACGTCAATGGTTCGTTCTTCCGTTGCGAGTACAGCCTGGCCCCGGGGAGTTTTTAAGGAAAAAACCACGGGTTCTTGTTGAAAGGAGGGGTTGGCCCAACACTGCGGAAAACCATCGCTAGGCAACATATTCACCAACGGTTCAGGGGAAATGTTCTTTTGGGGAAGATAAACTTCCTTCTGAAAAGGGAGTGCGTGCACTTACATATTTGTTGGTGGGAGGGTGTTGTCCTGGAATTATATACGGAAGCCCCAAAGGTTCCTATTCGGATGAGCTCGTTCTAGATGAATTGTCTTGCACCATAGGCCCTTCAACACCATTCAAAAGGAAACACAGTTTCAACATGTTCCAACCCAAAAGAAGACTCATTTCAAAAAAACACAAATCAGCAAGTGATATGGCTCCCTTTTCAAAGGGTGCCTCTACCCAGGGTTGCGCTGAGCCACGATTTACCCCAAAAGTTGAACTGGGCGAATCTTGAAACAACGGCTGAAGTCTCATTGCCAGCTTCTTTTCAGCGCCCTGAATTCATGTGATGTTTTAAATTTTAGTCCTAAATCAAAGAGGTCACTTAAGCCATTTAAAGGTCCCAGACCCTCAGGGATGCCCTCCCCAGGGCAACTCGAGCAGTGCTGGCAGACACTCAAATGCCACGTTTGACACCCCACACCGCCGTGTTCCGGCCATGCTGGGTCGGCCCCAATCGAATGTAGGAGTTGTCACAGTTCGACACGGGTAGCTGTTCGATTTCAACCGGATCCCTACCCAACCACGCCAAAAAGGGCACTTAGCAAACGAATCAGAGGGTCACTTAGGGCACTGACACGGCCTTGAGTGCCCTCGTTTCAAGAACGCGTCAAGTGCCCTTGGTTGAAGGGGTACTAAAAAAATGCTGGTGCACAGCGTTTTTATTGCCCCCCCAAGGTCCTGGAACACGAGGCGGTAGTCCTTGTCCACCTTCTCCTAAGTGGTGGAGGCGCCAGGGGTAGAGAGGAACGGGGGTGGATTAGGAAACCCCACCAACGGCACGCGCAAACACACACACACACACGGACACAGTCTTTACTCATTACGGGTGCAAACAGGAATGCCAACAATGGGACTCAGCTCCCCTCTTTGGTTCCATGTGAGCTCTTTTGTGGAGAAACGGGAGGAGTCGCGTCTGTTTGTGGCGTGTTTCCCTGAGCGGACCTGCTCCTGGAGGGCTCCTGATTCTCCCTGTGCCGTTTGTTTCTCGTTGTTTGCGTTTGTTTGCACCAGGGGGGCCAGCAACCTAATTATATAGAACTTGCACCCGCCCGAGGACCACCACTCAGCCTTTGCAAAGTCGAAAACCAGAATAGCGCGCAGTGGGGGCCCCAATTTGCTGGGAAACCATGCCCCCCCAGGTATATAGGTTTTCATGAGGTGCGTAACAATATTCAGGGGAAAGCGCGCCTCACCAAAAGTGAAAAGGAACAACCACTCAGTCGAAACTAAACAAGCATATACCTATTGGATTGTGGTTGCAATTTTGTGGCTTTGTCGACCACCATGTCGGCATCTAATTGTATCTTTCCCTTGAGATTCTTGCCCCTTTGAATGGAGCTCACTGGTTTTGGCAAGGACAACACTTACAAATTGGTGGTCTCGAATGGGGCAGCTCACAACATGTCTGGCTTCCTCTTAGCCTGGACGCATACAAAGGTCAACGGGTCGACTTGCATTCTATGGCCGCCAGTGGAGAGGTTCGAATAAGGGTACCTTTTTTTTCCCTGTGGTCTATTTTAGTAGGGGAACTCTCCCCCAAAAAAGGGTGAAAGGGCACTACTCGGCGACCTAGATTTGCCTTGCTAGAAATACCGCCCTCGTTCCCGACGATCGGATCGCTTGCCTGCAGCTCCCGGATCTTCTCGTCCCGAGACGCCAGGAGGTTCTCCAGAAAAATGACCCGCCGGGAGTGCGCGTCGGAGTCCGTCCTTCCATTCGACGCGCTTCATTTGTGGTGCGAAAAGCAGCCGGGCCGAGGCAGTTGCTTAAAAAGGTCACCTCAAGCACATTCTGCGATTTCCAGTGGCTAGCTTTCCAACGATGACACGCACACACACACACACCAAAGGGTTTCTTACCCAGTGGCTTCAACACAGCCAGGCCAAAAGGAGGCCTTGTGAAGCCCCGAGTCCAAGGCAAATGGCTGTGGCTCAAAAAACCGGAGTTCCAAAATGGCTTGCCCTGGTCAGTGGAAACCTGGACCCCCCAAAAAAGCGGGTTGCCCCTGCGAAATTTTGAGCCACACCCAAATTTCACAAGAGGCCGCCCGAGAGCGGCTCAGAGAGCGGATCAAGCCCTCGGACTCCAGGGCGTCCGCAGGACATCCGTGCCCGTATTACCGAGCCCATTTGCCAAGCCGCCTGGGGAAAAACAAATCCAGTGGTGATAGATCGCCTTTGAAACCAACAAGGGGAAAAAAACAAAATATGTTGAAGCAAATGGAAGATACATATCGTCTGTGATTCTATTGTGCCTGGTCTTGGAAGAGCCTCCAAGCACCCTGCAAATCGTTCTTGATGCAAGCGCGGCCAGGGCTTGGCTGAGCGTATGTCTGTGATAATTGTGCTTGAAAACAAAAGTGCACAATCAAACTGCCGCTTCCAGTCCAAGAAAGACTGAAAGCGGGACTGTCAGATGCCACGACACGCAAACACCTTGGACCTTCCAACGCCAAGCCTGTTGAATTGTCAACCAAGCTAGGCTGGAATTCGGACCCCAGCACAAAGTTTTTTTCTATTTTGCCTGGTGAGTGAAAAATAAAGGGGGACCCCCCCCCAACAACAAAAATGTAAAGGGGGAGCTTATTCCGGGGAAGCAAGGGCCTTACATCATACACCTGAACATTGCAACTTGTAAATGGTGGTGTCCATTTATTTCGGTGTTGAGAAAGCAACATGTTTCAAATGGTTGTAACATGTATCCATCTTTTTTTGGAGCCCCGGAGAACCGGGCAAACGGCCCACCGCCCCAAAAAAAAAGAGACGACGTCCGAGTTCACTCCGAGCATCTCCAGCTTGAGCTGTAGCTCTGAGGCGCGGGACTCCTGGGAAGGCAGCTGGGTTCCCACCTAGGGGTCATACCGGACATATGTTTTAAAGCTTTGCTTTAACTCACCAAAGGGAAATGGCTGTGGGTCGACACCAATGGGATCCCATTTTCGGGTAGGTGAACCTATTTTAGTGGGGATTGGGATGTTCACTGGGGGTGCGGGGTTTTGACCCGTTGGCTGTGTCCGAAAGGGTGATGTTCAACCTATTTATATATACTCACTTGCCGAGTGGATGGCCCAAAAAAAGTTCGAACTTTATATTTGCAACTAAAATGGTCTTCCCAAAAGCTTCACATGAACTCAGGAAGTGAGTATATACATATTTTGTATATATACAGGCATTTTCCCAACATGTAAATAGGGGACCAGTGCAAGTCAGGGGACAACAAGGAGCCCCCCCAATTCCCGGCAGAAAAGGTTCATAGAACCCTGTTAGAAGGGGTTTGGACGGAAGGCCTTCTAGACAACAGGGCCATGTGGGGATCAACCTTCCTCGCATTTTGCCTGGCCGGGTCATTCAGGGGGTGTACATGTTCTTCCGTGCAAGCTAAAACATGCTCACCCAAACTTTTGTAAGTTGCTGGACGTGCCGAGTTGCCGCAAGCGGCACCCTGCTTCTGACAACATTCTTTGTGCTTTGTGCTCCTCAGCCACTGGAAGGAGTCTTTGGGCAGGACTGGCTGAGGAATCTCTGACCCGTTGCTCGACAAATCTCTGACCCGTTGCTCGACCCATTTGCGGCCCAGATGTATTGCACCAACTCTTTGGTGAACGTCCTTGAGGCTTGAAACCCCATGCCCCAGACTGGTCGTCATATGCCCTGCTTTCTCCAACCATGCGACATGAGGATTGGAACCAGGGGGCGTAGCATTTCTGGATGCACACCTTCTGCTCACTTTTGGCAACCCCCCGCCAGATTTCCGGAATGACAATCAACTGAGGTGCAGTCAACCTACCCAAGCCTTATCCGGCGCGTTGCCTGGGCAAATTTTGATTGCAGGATTAGAGAAAAGGAACCGGGAGGGGCCCGATATCAAATTTGTCATTTGTCTCCCGACAAAGGTCGACATCTGAATCTCCTCCCCCATTTCCGTTTCCAAACGGGCTGCAATAGGGCAAGGCTTTCTCCAAATTCGGGGCAGAACCCACTGCCACAAGCTCAGGGGCTTCCTATATTGCCCTTCTTGGATGCGTATTGGGGAAATGTCAAGGAGCCCCGGGTGGCAACAACCAACGGGTTCTCCAACTCCAAGCGAAACACAAACACCGATTCTCATCTTTTTCGGGTGGGGTCCGAGCTACACCCAGCCCCTATCTGCACCCGAAGTCCCTCAGTCGCCTTCAGGAAGAGCTTCTCCTCCAAATGCCCCACGCGGCTCCGGTGACTCACCGCCTCTTCCTCCAGCCTCGCCTTCAGCTCCTCCAGCTGCTTCTCCCCGAAGGCGAGCTTCCTAAGCTCGCTTTGTCCGAAGGCCCGGGCCTTGTTGGATGCACGCACGAGCAGGTAAGCTTGCAGGTTGCAAAGTGATACTGCAGTGATACTTGTTAGCTGGCTGAAAGCATGGAACCTGTGAAGAGGTAATGTTACACAGTGTCGAACCAGGATGTTTCAGTATAACTTGGTATAACCATGTTTGTTTGAGGGAATTCGGAGTTACAGTACCCCGGTGAAATGTGGCCGTGGTTGCAGCAAAGGGACGGAGTCTTGCGCGGAGAGGTCAGATGGAGTACTTCCGATAATTCGGCCATCCCTCAATGGGACATTCCCCCTTCCCCTCCCGGCCCGAAGAAACAAAAAAGGGACCGCAAGGACCAGGACAGGCCGAAGGGTTGGGGCGTAAAAGGAATATGGTTGGGGGCACCGGCTTTTCCGGTGACACCTGGGTGTCGTCCACCACAAATAGATAAATCGTTGCCATCTGGCAAAGAAGGGAAGGTTCTTTGCGAGATTGACAGCTGGCTGGTATGGGGCGTGCAATTTGGGATGCTTGTGTAGGTGCTGTTTGGGGTGCTGTTTGGGGTGCTGTTTGGGGTGCTGTTTGGGGTGCTGTTTGGGGTGCTGTTTGGGGTGCTGTTTGGGGTGCTATTTGAGCTGCAGGTGACGGTAGTATGCCAGGGGCAGTCTGGGGTGCTGACACAGGTGGTGTTTTGGGATGCTGTTTGGGGTGCTGTTTGAGGTGCTGGTGATGGTGCGGGCGCATTTTTGCAAGATTCACGGTCGGGTGCTGGGAGTGCTGTTTGGGGGTGCTGTTCGGGGTGATGGTGCGGGCGCGCTTGCGGTTGATATCAGGAGGTCATGCAATTTGCGGGTTCTTTGCTGCTTGGGGTGTTGGTTGAGGCGCTCTTGGTGCAGTGCTGTTGGAGGTGCTGGCGTGCAATCGTTTGCAATGTGTAGTTATCTGGGGTCTATGCAGGTGTGATTGTTTGAGCCACGCAAAGTTACAAAAAGAACTTCCCCAAGTAAAGGGCCTACATATTTTTTGAGGTTCCAAAGACAGTTTATTGCACGTGCTTTCCGCAAAAAAAACAACTCTCCTCTTTGGGAACCTCCCTGTCCAATCTTATGATTGTGAAGAGGGCACCCTGTTCAGGTGGGTTCTTGCCCAAATAGCTGAAAGCTATAGAGAATCTAGCTTCGAATTAAAGGGGAATGTGATTTGCAAGTGGGTGCTAAAGAGGTGCAGTTGGGGTGCTGGTGCAGATGAAGGCTGTGTGCTCTGTGGGTGCTGCTTGCTGCGCTGATGCGCGAGGCACTGATCCGCCTGTTTTGCCGCTATCTGGGGTCTCTTCTGCTGTAATTTGGGGGGAGCCCTGGAAGGAAACCGTGCCACCCACTTTTTGTCCGGGTTTTTTCGAATACTACTTTCAACAGGAAGCTCCTTTCCAAGATAGCAATATTCTTTTCCAAATGCTACGTTTAATAAGAACATCCTGTCCAAACCCTGTTTTTAACAAGAACTTCCTTTCCACATCCTATCTTTAATCCGAACTTCCTTTCCAAAGACTGTTCTTTAATAGGAAGTTCCTAATAATGCCGCTGAATGTCTCCTCCAAGAGCTGCGCCTTGCGGCTGTTGGCGATGGCCTCCTGCCGCGCCCAGCGCGCCTCCGCCTCCGCGCGCATCAGGCGCTCCGCTGCGCTGCCGGCGGCCTCCAAGCGCCAGCGGTTGAAACCACTCTCTGGGGGTTTTGTGGTCGTCGTGTTTTTTTCTCAGTCGCCCAAAGGACCCAGAAATAGAAGGTTAATTTTTTGGGGCCTTTACTAAAGATAGACCAAAATTGGAAAGCCAAAAGGTTAAAAGCTCGGCTTTGGGCAACTGAGTTTTGCTTTAACTCACCAAAGGGAAATGGCTGTGGGTCGACACTAGTGGGATCCCATTTTGGGGTAGGTGAATTCACCACCCATTTTAGAACCTATTTTACTGGGGATTGAGATGGGGGTACGGGGTTCTGACCCGTTGGTGATGTCCGAAAAGGTGATGTTCAACCAATTCTCCCTGAGTGGATGGCCCAAAAAAAGTCCAAACTTTATATTTGCCACTAGAGTGGTCCAAACCCAAAAAGTTGCAAGTTCATGAAATCAGGAAGTGAGTTAAACAAAAGAGAAGTCAGTTCCTGGCCTGGCAACAAAAGGGAACAAGTTTGGCTGGTTTTTTCGTTGATGTGCCTGCTGATTGTTTGTTCTTTCAAAACGCCACTCCTAGGATCATTCACGCGTGCCTAAAAGCTGGCAGTTGCTTAACGCTAGAGGATCTTTCCAGAAAGCTCCAAGTGGAGTGGGGGAGGTGGGAGCCCCATGTGTTTCCAGTTTGAACTAGGTTCCGGAGATTGCATATTTGTGTTCTTATATGCATATATAGATGTATACATCTTTATATGCAGATGCAGCTATATATATATATATACATACATACATAATATATATATATATGTGTGTGTGTATGTATATGTAATATCTAATAAGTGTAGTGTATGAGCAATATGGACCTCTTAAAAGGTCACATTGCTGGAAACTATAGGTCCTCCTGCTTCCGCTTAACAACTCACCCAAATGGACCTTCTGAAGACATTCCAAACTGTGCTTTTCAGGCACACGGCCTTCCCAAAACATGTGAAGTCCACAAACTTGGGAGGTGAAACAACCCCAAATCGTGTACACAGCCTCAACAAATCCCTAGTGGTGGGAAAACCGGGGCATCATCTTTTTGCTGCTTGAAATTGAAGGGATGCCTCATACAGAAAAGAAAAAAGCAGCACGAGCAAGCACCACTAGTCTGGATTTGCCCTTCGAATGCTTGGCCCATGCCTTCCGCAGCTCCGCATTTTCACCCTGCGTGGCCGTGTCCTTTTTCAATCCCGCCAGCTCCTGGCGTGTCCGCTTTCAAGTGCCGAGGAAGAGGAGAATTGGTTAGAGACTCTCTTCCCCACCCCCTGGGGAAACGGGCAACAAAATGTGTTTGTTTCCAGCCGCACTTGGTCAAGAGGCCGACCCCCCAGGCCAAGGATGACGCACTCGCCACTCAGATGTCTAAGACAAGGACATGCGTAAGCAACATGCGAAAACATACTGGAATAATGTTTGTTGCAGAACACGCCAAGGCAAACATATCCACATCGAAGGCGGACGACGCATCGCTGGCCAACAAGAGTGACCCAGCACAGTCTAAGCGCAAACGCCTTTGTCATGCGAGAACAAGGCTCCGGTGAGACCGATAAGTGAGGTCAGCCTTCTAATCCTTGACGTAAGAGCCGTTGCGAACATAAGCTTTGTAAGACTCGGAGGGCATGCCTGCAATCATCCACACCGGCCAATCAGGAATCTCAAGCTGGTGAAGCAAAGCTGAAGACTTAGTCACCTAAGATGGCACACAGAAAGTCTTAACTTTCTTAAAGACAGATCCAGCAAGAGTGCACCCTCCCTGGTTCCAAGGCACTACGACCCTCTCACGAGCGCCCATGTGCCAGCCGAGTTCACCCTGACAAACGGCAGAATTCCCCCAGGGACTCACCAATATGCTGTCTTGCCAAGCGCGCATACGCAGACACAAGAATATACATTGCCTCTACAGCCCACAAATGTCTTCCGAACCTCAGCACACTTTCCACTTTGAGCTCAACGATAAAAATATATCAACGCGCAAAGGAACAGGGAGGCACGAGATCAAGGAGCGCAAAGCATCAATCGTAGCAGAACAGGCCGCTACCACTGCACACCGGCGACCCAGCCACTTGTGCATTTTGACACTAGTGAGGGGCACTGGCAGCAAGGGACTGTGCCTCTGGAACAACAGTTTCGGAAGGAGCCACATCCACCTTCATGTCATCCGCCCATTCGGTGATGGTAGACAAGCACCTGCTTTGCCTCGCCTCTGCTGGATGCAGGATCGTCTGCGTGAAGCAGAATAGGTATCCTCTCATCATCCAATAGACCCAGAGCTCTGGCACAAGTAGCCTGAAGGTCAGGGCACTGCGCCAAGGCCTGTGCAAATGGCAAGGGCCTAGCATGCGGAATGCTTAGCCAAACCTAGGCCTGACGTGGTTCACCTATATGTGTCGTTTTCAGCTAACATGGTTGGCTTTCTGCTGGTTTCCTGGGCCCTGCTGTGAATACGAACAGGTGGTCCGATTTCCCAAAGACCCCCCGGCAAGATGCTCCTTGGCCTGCAGGCGCTGCTGTTCCGCCAGCAGCTGAACCGAGCCTCAGGGAATCGGTCTGCCTGACTACGAAGGGACCTGCGAGTGAGGAGCTCTACCACCGAGGGGTGAGGCCGGCTGTAGGCCAGACCCAAGGAATGGGATGCGTCAGAATGGGATGCATCCCCCTCCTTGGCAGGACATCAGATCAAGGGCTCCTGTATTGATGCGCGCAAGGACACACATGTGCCACAACATTGAAGAGATGGGGCAAAATCCAGGGCCGGGGAGGGAGCTAAATCCAGGCAGTGTGTGGCGACTGACACCAGTAGCGGCGTGGCCAAGCCTGAGGGAGGGAGAGAAAGAGAGAGAGAGAAGGAGAGAGAAACCGTTGCCAGGACAACAAACTTGCCATATCGTGGCGTCCTTTGATTTGGCTGTGTAATTGTGATGGTTTTTGCGCTCAACCTCGGGCATCAGCCCACTGCTCCATCAATTCTTTGAAAAACCGGCAAATGGGAATCCCCAGGAAAGGATCCTTCAAACCGCTGATCTTTCCCCGACCCTTCCGGGGCGCCTTGGAGCTCATGTGCTGAGCGGTCGATCGTCACCACCACTGGCTGCGGGGGCGGGGGCTGCGGCTGCGGCTGAAGCGGCTGAAGCGGCCGCGGGGACCGCGGGGACCGCGGGGATCGCAGGGCAGCTGCCGGCAATCGAAGGCCTCGCGGTGACGTGGTTTGCGCATGCGGCTTCAAAATTAGGAAGTGGACCCCAACATGTTTGGCTTCCTGTTGGGTTCGAAAGCTAAAAGGGGTTTGGCCAAAAGCCACATTGCTCACGTGCCACTTTGGGCCACGAAGCCATAGAGCCCAGGCCAAGTCTCTCGCACAGGCAAGGAAGATATCAGAGAAACAGGTCGATGGGGGTGCACGAGTAAAACCAATAACAATATAAGTAAAGATTGCACAGTGCTTGAGTTGACTCAATTCCAGTACTGACCCACCAAGTGGTTGCACGCAATGGAAAACATATCCAGGCATTCTGAAATGAAAGCATCACTTCAGATTCGCCTCTAGATCGGTGTTGACTCCGATTGGTTGATTCAGGCTGTAGCTGACCTCCAACTTCTTCAGGGTTGCTCACAGAGTCCGGCATGCCTAGGATACAGGTCTTCAAAGCACAAGCATCAACGGCTCCCCTTCCCCCAGGGTTCATCTACGTGTCTCTGACAAAGCATGAGAGAAGGCCGACCTTTCAGGGGGGTCCGCCGGTCTGCCCGGACCCTCCCTCAGCGCCTGCGTCTGGGTGCAGGCGCAGCCGTGCTTCCAACTCGGCGGCACCGATGGGCTCCCAGCTCTCGCGGGAGCTGTAAGAGGGCAACTCCCCTGCGATTCGAATCGATGCTCGTTGGGCTTTTGAGAATATCCTTTTCAGGTTGTAAAGCAAGAGCAAAGCAACCCCGCATTCTGACACGTGCCCGTACCCATTTCTCTGTGGGTAGCAATTTCGGTTGATGCGTATCAATCGTATCAAATCATACATGTTTTCCTTGGTCTTCAGGCAAAGGCAGCGTATGGCGGTTGGCGTGGGTAAGGATTTCTGTGCAAATTCCTGTTTGTTCTGTGCGTGCGTTTGGCTAGTTGAAAGGGAAAACCCAATCTGAGGTGCGCATGCGGTGCGCAACCCCCCACTGCATGAATAATGTGGGATGGGAAAAGCGCAGCAATCCATAGGCCTCTAGCAGCACGGTTCCCGTTTACCTCCTGCAAAAACCAAGGCTTCAAATTTCAAAAGGCACCAATCCACCAACTATAAGGGATACCTGACTACGTGCCTCAGAACCCGAGCGGCTGGTGGGGGTCAGCATCCAGGGAGGAAGTCGGACCCCCTTCCATCCAGTACGTAAGAGTTGCCCGCTGACAAGGCTAGAACAAGTTGCAGTAACCTGGCCAAAACTGATTTGGACCCTTTTCTGAAGTCCATTCCAGTCTTCACGGAACATCCGCCACGCACAAAGAGCTTTGAAGGGGCCCTCAAATTTCTTATCCTCATGGCGAAAACAATCGAAACCCTCCGCAGCCACCCGTCTCAGGCCTGGCTCACTGGTGTCGACCTGCCGGAGATGCCCAGAACTTAGAACCCTTTTCAACTTGGGTTTTCCCCACCTAACATTGCCAAATTAAGAGAGACAACTCGAGTGGGTTATGGCCATCCACGTCTGTGTGTGTGTGTGTGTTTCTGTTGGGGGTACCCTTGTCACCCTGGTTTAAGGGGAAACGGCACATACCCCCTTCAGTTTCGAAAAGACGCCACCGATGGAGGAGGGAAGAAGCAAGTTCGACAGCCCCTTGGCTTCCTCGAAAGCTTTGAGTCAAGCACTTGCATTGCAAGGCTTCAAGGGAAGCCTATGCTGTGCTTCTTAGGCGCAACAACAATGGAACTGCTCGCCCCCCCAAAAAATATAAAATAACCAATAACACAAGATAGAAGACGCCTAATTCCAGGCAACAAAAAACAAATCAAAGAGAAATACTTCACCTCCCCTAGCTTGCGGCGGGGGGGGTGGCTGTATTTGACTCCAAGGCGTACCCCCTCCAGATAAAGCACTGCTTATGTAGGTCATGACCGAGGTTCCCAGTTATGTTGACTTCGGACTAACCAAGCTGAAAGTCCAATCGGGGCTTTTGCCCCCAAAAGTCACGAACGCCTCCTTCAACACCCCATCAAAATGGGATGCCTGCCCGATTCATCAGATCAACATAGATCAGGGTTTTCCTTCATCCTCGGGGTCCCCCATTTTCAGCCGTCAGGGGCCGGGAGCAAACGCCTCCTCGCCGTCGTCCAGGGGCACGCTGCCACTGACCTCCACCTCGCTGAGCTCGGCCGAAAAGTCGCCATCAGAGGCCATGGCATGGGCAGAATCGCCCTAGGAGCGTGTTTTGCTGCCGTCCACAGTTTAGGGTTTAGGTTTAGGGTTCAGTTCATCCTGATGTTGTGGTTGTTTGATATTTCGTAGTTGAATTTTTTGCCATTGGCTGGGTGAGGGGGTTGTGTTGCAGTGGGCGTAGAAATGTAGAGGTCCTGTTGACAAATAGCCGACTCAAAGCACGACCAGGGGAGCATGATCACCCCCATGCTGATCAGCACGACCCCGCAGAATTTGCAATGTCTTGCACTTCGTGCTACGCTCGCTACGCCCGGCGATGCCAGCCTCTGCAAAAGATTGCACTTTTGTTTGACCTTTCGTGTGCTATTCGCGGGGTTCCTGGCCCAAGCAGTTTGAAAAGGCCTGTGAACCTGGTGCCATCTCACTGGAAGCCAAACCCCTTTGGGCTGGAGCCAAACCCTGACGCTACGGCAGCCTGACATGCTCGTGGCTTCCGGCGGCAAAAGAACAGAGAGAGGAGAACGGCTTGAGAAGCCGAAGCCAAAAAAACAAGAACATGGAGAAGCCACTGAGCAACTGGGAGGGCACCCCAGCAGGGCGCGTTCCAGGAAATGGTGCTCGCTTCGCACTGCAGTGCAGCTTTCAGCCGGAGTTTGCAAAGGTGCTCTGGAATGAAAAGCGTTCCCTCACACAAAAAAGAAGCAGTAGTTGCACGCCCATTTCAATCAAGAAGGGGCACGTTCAACGCCCCCACCAACACATTGGTTGATTCAGATTGATTTCCTCAGCAGCTTGGGTTACGCCGAGTCGCATAGCCCGTCGGTTGCTAGTTCGAAGTGACTAGAGTGTAGGCATCTCCCCCAATTCAACATGAACACTCCGCAGCTAAATCTGCGAGTGTCAGCAAAAAATCGGGTGGAATCTTTACAAGGTCCTGACATCCCTCCTGAATTTCACGGCAGGCGTCTCCGGGAGAAGGGAGTTCGGAGAGGGGAGAGGGCTCCCACGATACGGGTGGTTCTTCAGCCATTTTTTGGGGGACTAGTTTGGAATACCAAGTGAGCAAGGTTGCCCGGGTTGACCATCCTTTGAGGCCCAGGCTGGTCAAGGATTCTGCTACAACCTTCAAGGACCATCAGCTGACGATCGCCGTTCTACTTCCTCGCTACCAGCGGCCATGCGAACAAATTGCCAGAAGCTCAACGCCCACGCTGCGACTCAAGCTTGAGGTGGCTGCGTGGAGACAATTAGATACTTGGAAGATTCCGTTTAGGCCTGACGGTAGAACCCAGCAGGCCTCAGTCAAAACGGGATCCTGCTGACACAAAGGCTTAAGTAACCTGCGGTTTGGACAACGTCAGAAGGTAGATTCCCTCTACTGGTTGCATGGTGGTAAAGGGCATTTGTACTAACCGAGGTTGACCCAGGTCCTCCCTAGGGTCTGACTCAACCTGCGCTCTCCACGCCCCCCTAACCGTGGCGGGCGGTGCATCACCAGCACCGGCACGAAGATCAAAGCAAAGGCCACAGCCTCAGCGCCGGCCACTTTTCTGGGTACCCAAAAAAAGAGTGCCTAAACAACAGAAACATCTGACGTCCAGTTGTTTGTTTGGTAGGTTTGCAGAAAATCACCCTAAGGTGCCAACCAAACAAAGAACATGTGCGCCTATAACACCATGCGGGAAAACACAAACCACACATTGCCTGAAACCAAGGGAGGGTTTGGCAGCGTGATCCATAGATCCGCTTTACAAACCCAGCTGAGTATGCTTTCCCCTGAAAGCAAAAGGGATACAGGAAGCATTCCAGGCAATGGGCAGCACGGGCCCTGGCTTGCCGCACTCAAATTGCAGCTACCCCTTGGGTTGGCCTCTAGCAACGGCCCAAAAGGTTACAAAAGAGCAGTCAAGTTTTATCGATCCCGAGACTTTGTCATTTCTCGTCCCGTGACAATGCCATGATTGACGGCTTCGCAGCCTCCCTGCCAGGCAAACAATGGGAACTGGTACGAAGCCTCCTGCCTACCCAGTAGGCCAGCGAAACCTTACGTACCATCTTGGGGAGTCTCTAAACATCACTGTTACAAGCTTCAGCAGGCATAAGGGGACAAATGGGGCGGGCCGCCATTCTCGCCCAAGAGGTGCAAATTACATGAGCAGCCACGGTCAAAATTGGATTTCCCTAAGCGCGCTCCCTAAAGCACACATCCAAAAACCACATGATTGATTGTTTGTCTAGGGGTTGACTCCCAATTCTTTTCAACCATCGTTCTTTTCAAAAACCGGCTGTTTCCTCTGGGTTTTTGATGGTTTCCTGAAAAGAAGGACCCCTGGAAAGAATAAAGAAGGTACCCCTAGAGTTTGACTGGCTCACATGTATCCTTTAAGGGGCCCTGGCTAGTGGACCTGGGAGAATGCTTACCGAACCAACGGATTGAGTACTCGCGTCAAGTTCAGGGTCCCGTCCCTGTAAAAAAGCTTGGCACTTTTTTCAAGAGGAACCCTGCACTGGAAGCCCAAAAGACCCTGGTTAAGTTGCCCAGAAGCGTCCTGGCGGCAAAAAAACACGCGCGTTCCTTACCAAGGTGGGATCTCAAATCTCCAATGGCAACAAACACGCGCCCGGGTGGAATTGCGTCTAATGAGCCGGTTTTCGTTTCTTCCACCAGCGCGCACCAACAAGGTTATCGTTGTGGCAAAGCCTTCGGGCCCCAAACAATACGACAGAATGCTGTATATTCAAGAAGCACATCACAGCACACGTTAACCTGCGTTAGACTTCCAGCCGAAACCCGCGCTACGACTAAATTTGGAACCACAAAAGTTCACGCATCAGATGTTCTAAGACTTGTGCTGGCCACGCAGCGAGAAACTAGCAAACTAAACACATTCCAGAGAACGGACCCCTTACTCAACCCATCATCCCTAAGAGAAGGAGTGAGGGACCCGCATAGGGCGACTCGTTCCCCCTGGGCCGGCCAAATTTCTGGGCGCAGCCACGCCTTTTGCTCAGAGTGTGAGGCTGCCAGCCAGGTGCAACTTTGGCCACTCTGAAGCCATCTGCGACAGCTCCATGGGGTTTGGGCCAGCTCTGTCAGGGGTTCCCGAAATTTCCTCTGGAACATCATCCCAGCAAGATCACTTTGAGTTGGCCCAACGGGTGTTGGAAAGGGGCGGGGGTACAGGAAAAAACCTGGAAGCCATACGTTTGACCAAATCTGCTGTCACAACCAGATTGAGCTCAATTTCCATGTTTTCTGGAGGTCGCAGTGGGCTGCGCTGGCAGCTGCAAGGCCGGGTTCGTTTGACGAAACCCTTCGGGGTTTGCAAAGGCCCCTGCAGGGGCGTTGCCCCTGCAGGGCCCGCAACTTACATGTCCAAAACGGAAGATCTCTAGAGCCCAGCGTCCTGAAATCATGTTTTGCCCGCCTGGAGGGAAGAAAACGTTCCGAATTCGGAACTTGACCCTTCCAAAATATCAGACACACAGAATTTGACCTCTCCAAAATCAGACACACGGACACATCTCCATGGGAACAAAACATGACTCAGGAAACACTTCCGCATGAATTACACCTGCCATGTCTCCAACAAGGGCAGCAGATGCGTATGGCCGCACGCCGCTGCAAGCCTCAGTCGCACTTCGCCGGTATGCCAAACGTAGAGGCCAAACATAGTTCAGTCGAATCAGCACTTCAAACTGGTTATTTGTTTAAATGAAGGATGGTGACCCTGTCTTAACATCAGCAAATGGGTGTCTTTTTCTTTTGAGGGCACCCCTTTGTTGGTAGTTTTACGGGGGAAACATACAGGAACAGTGTGGGCACCTCCTTTAACAAGGTCACACCCACAGGGATACACCTGAACATTGCAACTTGTAAATGGTGGCTTCCCTCTATTTTGGTGTTGAAAAAGCAACACGTTTCAAATGCTCAGTTGCCCAAAGGACTTGAAACTAAAAGGTCCAAAATTGGAAAACCAAAAGGTCCAAAGGTCGGCTTTGAACAACTGAGAATGGGCAAAATGTATCTTTTAAGGAGCCCTGCTCACCGGGAGCTGGGCATGGCGGCATGGCGGCAACCGCCTTGGGCGCCGGGCTCGTGCGGCAGATCTCCGCGATCGTTGGCCGAGACCTGACCCGGGCTGACCCCAGCGAACAAAAAAATCCGGGCCGAGCACTGAGCACGCGACCACTGAGTAGGAGTTTGGGAGTGGCCAAGTAATAATAAAAAAGCAATGCAACAGCTACCCCCCCCCCAAAAAAAAAGGGGTCCCCAACCCTTAAAAAAAGGGGGTCCCAACCCATTAAAAAAGGGGGTTTTCAACAGGACCCCTTTCTTGGGGGGCAGCATCTGGGGCTAGAGTTGATCGTGCTCCTGTTGGCAAGGAGGCTAAACTAAGACGGACTTACTCCTTGTGTAAAAAATTAGGGTTTACATGTAGGGGGCAAGGGGTATAAAAGCCTTGGAATTACTACACGCACATATGGGTTGGTTTTAGACCCTTGATCTTTGGCAAGGTGCTTTGTCCATTGCCCCAGTCTTCCGGCCACAAAGTGGCTCAAACAAAATATGAATGAACGTCAAGAGCACAACGGCACACCAAATCGCAAACTCCTCAAACACTCAAGCCAGACATCACGGGGCCCCTCAGCAAGGAATCCACGGGCCCCCAATTAAAGGGGACACCCCCTTTTCAGCAGCCAGCATTTTATTAATCCGGGGTTAACATTTTAAATCGCTCGTTTTGCACCCGAAGCGGAGCTTGTGATCGCTGATTTGCCCAGAACTTGCTCGGCCTGCGCTTTGGACTCCACCAGCAGGCGCACCAGCGAGGAGCTCCCGGTGAGTGCCGCGGCACCCAACACCGACAGCCCTGAAGTCGAAAAACATGCGAGGCAACCTCGACTTAAACACAGAATTGGTTCAATCCAATTTTGGGGAAACAAGGAGATGCAATGGTTGGGGTGGCTGGAATCCTGTAACTATGGTCTAAGACAATGTTTGAGCACTAGCCACATGGACATACACCAGAATCGAACCTCGTCTCGGGTATGCAAACACGACCGACAAAGGGACACCTTCATTCAAAGGGTGAATGCGTGCGTGTATTCTTACGAATGCCTGGTGGGGACCCTTCAGTACCATAGTTGGCGATGGTGCTTGTGCAACCTAAGTTGCATCAGGCAAGCCACTATAGCAATTGGCTAGGGGGGCTCACCATCACGAAAAGCCAGCCAGTACAGGCAAGACACCCCTGACCAATTGTCAAACTTCTAAGGAACTTCCGTGTTTTGGACACCAAATGAAGGCAGCTCTGTGCAAAGACGAGATGAATCAGAATCAGCGCATGCCAGAAAACATGCGTGGGCGTGTGGCGCTGGAATTCAGATCGCGAAAACAACAACCTCTGCGGGTGTTGGTTTTTTCGGCCGGCTATCACCCAAGCAACTTCCAACTTGTCCTGAGAGATTCAATCATGCCTGTACAATCGTAAAGCCATGTAAGGCCCTTTACCTGCCTCGCGATTAATGCTGAGTCACCGCTACTAAAGGATGGCGATATGGAGAGGGGCGTTTCACGGAAACCCACAAGTGTAACTAGAACAGGAGGCTTATTCTTCGTCAGCGGTCGGCATGAAGATGTTTGGATGGCTGAGGCCAATCCCCTCTTGCTTCAACTGCTGTTTCAATTACCTTCTCCCATGGGATACCTTCTCCCATGGAATATTCCAGCCACCCAAAATGAAAAACCACAGTGTTCTATAAGGAACCTCTGCTGGCACAATCTCTTTCAAAGCGAGAAAATTCGCTTCCACAGAAGCTCTCTCAATGTCACGGACCTGTTTCAACAGCCACCACTTCCATGACTTACACCTTGACCCATGTGTCTTGGATTTCCGGACATGTCCCTTGCAGGTTGCAACCGCTGGTCATGCGCTTGCAAAAGAACGGATGAATCCGGTTCGATCCGCCTGGCAAACTGGCCCAGACCCTTGTGATGGAAGAGCTGTTCTCCAGGCCCCAGATGTCCGCACTCCTTGGGCGGTCGGGCTTCGGCCCAAAGCAAAGGACACCTTGGCGTTTTGGCCTTTTGGTCAACCGTGGTTTGGCAACCAAAAGGGAAGCCAAAGGGAGACCACCTTTTCGAGCGCGGGGTTCCCTCTATTTTGACACATGCCAAGGGGGGTTGATAAATCGGGGGCCGAGATTGCAATCTAAGGGCCTACCCAGGGCCTACTTCTGGGCGAGGTCGCGGGCCCCTTTGTGAGGCTGCGACGATGTTCTGAGCTATGAGCTACTGCGGTGCAAGATGCGCGCTGCACACGGCGCAGTCCAGCAGGATCTCGTAATTTGGTCTGGCAACTCGATTTGCATCTGCTCGGTGTGAGAGGAGCAGCCGGGCATTGCTGATAGCATCCGGGTTCCCCCGGCCCCAAAGGGCAATCGAATGCAGGGTGCCGTACTTGCCATTTCCTGAGCTGTCAAAAGCGATCGGCCATCGCATCACGAGGAAACCGCACAGATATGTCATGATATGCCAACAACGCACCCTGCAGGCAAAATCATTCCCGGCTTCCCGTTCGCCAAGCCGCTTTGAAATTCCGGATGGATCTTCAAGTCCAGAATCGCCTGAAATATAATAAACTGCCCTCCCGGCGATTCAGTCGCAGTGAATCGCTGTGGCGAGCTAGGACGGGAGCCAGCGGTTCCAACCACTTGCCTTATGTCTTCAAACCCTCTTCCCCACACATCACCAGCGCACAGAAACGGACCCTGGCCACTTTCATGTTCGAAAGCTGTTGGCCCTAGATGGCACTGGTCAATGATTCAAACTACGTCGAAACCAGTGAAATCCGTCTATGTTCAACCAAACTGAGGTAAAAGGACACTTCTGCCGACAGAGCAAACTCCATCCAGCCTTCACAGTCTCGGTATTTGCTCGGCCGGCCGCACCGTTCAGCGCATTCATTTCTGCCAGATCCGCCCGCGCATTCACAAGGGCGTGTACCTGCGAATGGCCGCATGCACGCTCCTTGATCAGCCCCGTAGTTGGTGGCTTGGATTTATTTGTGGTTTGGAGGTCAGGGGGCGGTTTCCCATCGATCCTCTACAAGAACCAGTGGTTCAAACTATCAATTCAGGGTAACCTCAGTTTGGTGTACATGATTGCCTTCCCACCAACCACGGGAATGTATAACAAAGACCTTATGAACGTGCAGCCCTTGCAGATTTTGAATCTTTGATGGGATGGGGATGTGGTAGATAGGATGCGGATGAGTTCAACATATTCAATGTGACTTCCTGCAAATGGAAGATCATTGTGAAGTATGTTCAAGGACCAGGGCACCTTCGGGCTGGTCCGAAGGAGATATGCCCGTGCGCAGGTAGCTGAGATTTGGCTAGGACTGACAATTGCCTGGTTTGGTTGATTTATTGGGGGGGGGGGTCTCATTTCAAGGCAGATCTCCACCACTTTGAGACCCACCGCCCAATGAATCCGGCAGGTTCATAAATTTGGGTTAAGCATTTTGACGCAATTGTGTCTGGTGCTCTTTTGCGAATTTTCTTCCTCCAGCCAGGTGCCTTTGATTTGGTCCTCCAGAATCCGAAGCCAACATTATGCTTCTTTGGAGTGCCTGTCGTGAGCAGGGTGCGCTGATGGAATCTGGGTGTTCATTTTGCACACCTTGCAAGTGCTGCCTGGCCAGCCACCACCTGTGCAACATCCTTCTCTTTTTTTCCTTCTCCTAACCCACTCGCAAGCAATTCTCGTATTTGTCATTGTTATTAAAAAAAAAAAAAAAAAAAAAAAAACGCGTACTGCAGCTACGTGTCAAGCACTGAACGTACATTTTCTAGAGGGCCACTCCCTGCCAACATCCCTCCTTGATCTTTCTATCAAAGTCTGGGGGTGCCGTAGGAAGTAATTGCCCTCCGGAGAGCAAACATGGAACCTGAAGGCTACCATGTTCGAAAACTCATTTTCCTCCAGCAAGGGCCGAGTTTCAGGTTCCGTGTTGGGGTACCCAAATAGGTCCATTTGCTGGAGCGCCCTGGAAAAAATACAAAGATTTCCAGTAGTGATAGACTCCCTTTAAAACCAAGAGGGAAAAATAAACCATATTCTTAAGCAACTGGAAGCATAGGTCCAAAGTGACTTCCTTTGAAACCGCCTGAGTCTGACCCAGGCCTCAAACCGCCCGCCTGCCCGGCGGAGCGCGCCAGAAAGCTCGCGGTGACGCCGCTGCGGGACCTGGCGGACACCTCGGCCTTGCACTCGATGAGCGCGGAAAGCACCGAGGGATCCTCTGACGGAGCGCTGGAGCTGTCGTCAGGGGAGAAAGCACCGTATGAGTATGAGTAAAAAAGGCGAACTAGAATCATCATAAGTATAAAGTAGTGAGTAAGAATAGTGAACTAGAATCATAATAAACATATACTAGAGTGGATAATCAGTATTACCTTTATTAGAAGAAGGCATAGTACTTCCCATTTCCCATCAGAAACGCGGGTTTGAATCCCCAAACAAAAGCACAGTATGAATATGAGAAAAGAAACAGTGAACTAGAATCAGAACAAAAAATACTACCGTGGAGTATCCTTAATCTTCCAGGACCCTGGAAAAGCAGGCCTTTGGCCGAAGGGCCGAATTTGGAGCCAAGATCGAAATTAAGAAGGACCCGGGTTTTGCAGGTTCTTGGAAGACCAAGGTATGAGTATGAGTAGTAAAAGTGAACTAGAATCACAATAAAATTATACTGTAGTGGATAACCAGCCTTACTTTTATTTTTCTGGGGTTGCGAACAGGGGTTTCCTGCCGAGAAAAGGAGAAAAGGATCCATTCCGAGCTGGTCAGAATGCTAAACTCGGCTTCCCTCGAGGTGATCCTTACGGTGGCTTCCCCCGTTTTTTTTTTTTTAAATCAGAACCGAGGGGCTCGAATCCCCAAACCACTAACTGAAGGGTTGGTCTGAAAAAGCATCCACTAGTCGGTTTCCTTTTGGTGGAATTTGACAACTACATAATCAACGTATATTTGTTTAGCACCCAGAAAGCTAGCTCACCCTTTGCCCGCAACTAGAAATAATAGGAAATGGCATGCACGGATTCCGGTCCATCTTCAGCCAACCTCAACATAGAAGATGATGTCAAAGTCTTAAAGAGCAGTTCCGGGTCAGACTGTTCTTGTTGCCACCTGTTGGGAACAGCTTGGCATAACTACCTCCGGCAGAAAACCTTGACTGTTGGGGCCGTAGCCCAAGACCCTAAATACGAAGGGCCTCTGACACTTAAGACAAAGGCCTCAACTATTGAGGTCTTTGAGGGCTACTTTTTCCAAAAAGACAACCGAACAAAACCACCCTCGCCCTCCCAGCCTTTTGAGGTCCAAAGGGGAATTGACCTAATGCTCACTTCGGGTTCATTTGGAAAAGCACAGATCAATTTCGGGGAGACTCCTCGGTGTGATTTGTATGGTCCTGCGGACGGGGGCGGGGGGTCAGTCCCGAGAAATTGCAACTCTTCGAGATCCAAAGAAGGGACTCAGATGGATCCTGTGGGAACTTTTGGGCTCTGCTTTAAATGATGTGATAGCAGCACAAACGGGTTCGGCTCAAATTCGAGACGTCCCCAAAGAACAGATCATGAAAATAATTACAAAATCGCTCACTCGCAGCGACTAGAAGCATGCACTCAGCTAACCTGAGCATCTGTTCACCCCAAAGCTTGCCTCTGGCATCTACCATTGTCGCAAAGCAGTCAGCGTGGTCAACGCTCGCATCGGCGCAACAATTATGAAACGAATCCTGTGCCCACACAAGAAAACAGGAAAGAAAGAAAGAAAGAAAGAAAGAAAGAAAGAAAGAAAGAAAGAAAGAAATAAAGGAACAAATAAAGGAAACAATAAAGGAAAAACAAGCGAAAAACAAAAGGACAACAAACAAGAAACAAATAAATAAAGAAATAGTACAGAAAGAAAGAAAGAAAGAAAGAAAGAAAGAAAGAAAGAAAGAACAAACATAAAATAAAGAAAGACAAACAGAAAGAAAGAAATGAAGAAAGAAAGAACCCAGAAAGAAAGAAAGACATGAAGAAATAAACAAATAAAGAAGAACGAAAGAAACAATCAATAAATAAGTAAAGAAAGAAATAAAGAACTAGTGAACAAATAAATAAAGAACAAAAGAAAGAAAGAAAGAAAGAAATAAAGAAAGAAAGAAAGAAAGAAATACAGAAATAAATATATCCAGCAAGCAAGCAAGCAAGCAAGCAAGCAAGCAAGCAAGCAAGCAAGCAAGCAAGCAAGCAAGCAAGCAAGCAAGCAAGCAAGCAAGCAAGCAGGCAGGCAGGCAGGCAGGCAGGCAAGCAAGCAAGCAAGCAAGCAAGCAAGCAAGCAGCAACCAAATGACACCAAGACAGAGACGGCAACACACACATACATGCACACACTGAATAATTTGCCAGTCGCCGTATGATGAATTAGATTTACTGATTGACAATTGGCATCCAGCAATGACAGATTGACCTTAAGTAGGAAGACTTGATCAACAGCTGGCTCCACTTGGGTACCCAAGCCAAAAAGTGCTTGGCGTTTGCCTTCTAAATTCTCTGGGCAACTGGGAAATTTGAGACAGCCAAATAGCTTCGGACAGCTGTCACTCCTGAAGTGGGCTGAAGGGGTTGCCGAAACTCAGTATTTCAGTGACCCTGGGAAAAAGGGAACCCTTTTTGGGGAAGACTATTTTTAAATGGGGCAGCCATTAAGGAAAAAGGGTGCAGTGAACACCTGAGGAAAGGAAGCCAGCGTCACTCAAAGCGGTCTCCTGGTGGGACTTGGCGGCTGCCATGAGCCTGGGTGCCCGAGAACAGTTGGGACGGCATGGCTCCAACCAGACTTGCTGCACTTTTGGTCACTGAAAGGCCACGAAAGGCAATGTTTTCACAAAATCCAACGCAAACCACCCTCCCAAGCTTGCTACAATTCAGCCAAAGACAAATCGGTCGCAAACGGGAACCCCTGAAGCGCATGCGGTGCACAGTTGCTTTTGCAGTGAGCCGCCTTGCACCTCTTATGGCAAGGAAGCTAAAAGGTTCTAATCTCCTTTTTCGGACCAAAATGCCCCAAGGACTGAACAGTCCCACGCCACAAAGTCCAAAGATCACCACTGACCAACTCACCTTGAACTCTTGAACACAACTCTAGTTGAACCACTCAAGCCTCGACTGGCCCCGCTGCAAATGAACCTCCAAACGAAACAGGAGTCGCCTGTTGGAGGACCCTTTCGAAGTGCATCATAACAGCACGGCAAGTCGCATGGTTTGCGTCTCGTAAAAGCCCAGCTCGCTCAAATCCGGCAGTCCGCGATTGACATCAGCCTTGTTCTCTGCCAGCAGGCGGATCATTGCAACATTCCCGGAGAGAACGGCACAGAATAGGCCATTCACGCCGCTTTGATCAGTGAGGGCATCCTCACAGGGTCGCTGGATTTCATGGCCAAAACCCAACAGTTCCCTTCCATTTGCTCAAGTCCTTGGGACAAAAATATGTTTAGTAGTGATGGGTTCCCTTTCAAACCAAACCATAGTAAGCAAACGGAAGTTGATCAGGTTGCTGGGCTCCAATGAAACAAACCATCCGGCTTGTTTTTCAAAAAAGACAACTGAAGGACTCGACCTCAATGCTCGAGAAGTTGAAGAATTGCAAGAACGCCTCCTCATTGAAATGTTCCCGCTCCCTCCCCAGCAGCTTGGGCTGCTGCGCCATGTGGAAACCTTGGCCAAGCAAAACATAGGTAATTAATTAGGAAATCAGGTGCACCGATCACTGGTTGTGCGTGTCATCCTTGTTTTTGGGTGCCTTTGTTGGAAGAATAGGCGCTTAGGCGCTGGGGGCGCTTAGAGGCTCAGGCGCGTGGGTGCCTCTTTTGTTTATATCCCCTTCTCCTGCTGCAATGCGGAGCCCCCTCTACTCAGCAACTGCATCAATGTTGTCAGCCTTGAGTTGGTCATTCCCAAAAGGAAGAACATGTCTGCCTATGTTTCCCCCTTTTCAACATCATCCGCCAAAGGCAACATCTGCCACCATGGCAGCCCAATATTAGCCAAAGAGCAAACAAAGGGAGTCCCTAGAAACGATACCAGTGACCACACCTCCCATGAAAATGGCAGTGCAGCAAGCGAGGTAGCGAGCCATGAATCCGGACGTCACCCCAAGAAGTGATCTTCATGGCGGAGAAGCAACCGAGAACCGTAAAATAAATAACTCTTTCGAAACAGACAGTTGGGGGCCTATCTGAAAAGGGGAATGTAGTGAGCCCCAAAATCCCTCGCTTGGCCAAGGTACGGTAATGGCTCAAGGGCCCCTTTTCACGCAAGCACTGCAGCTTGCTTGCCATCGCCACTTCCTTGCTTCGGATACCGAGCCGTTGGCAACCGGCTGTGTGTCAGAACTGAAATCCAACCCCTACCCCGTGAACAAACAACGGGATAAAGCTCCCTCCAGGACTCCACATAAATTTCTCTCACCCGCACCAGCGTCATCCCTGGAGGTTCTGGGCAGGTTCCATGAGCGTTGCGGGACAATCAA